TGCACTTATACAATCCTAATTTTCCTCAAAATTTAGGAAATTATTTACATTGAATTATTTTTGAAATATTTATATTGAATTAGGAATTCTTTACTTTGAATCAAAAAAGGGTAATTCCTCTTTAGAGAGACTCTTATTTTACTTCTGTTCTGCTTGGACAAAGGACGATCATTTTGGGGTAAAAGTAACACCAACCATTTCGCTCTTACTCTGAGGAAACCAAAGCTCGTAACACGTAAGTGACCCGGCCAAAGTTGTAAAAGCAATTGTTGACAGAAACGAAAGCAATCGGTTAAGACTCCAGACATACCTTCTACGAAACTCTAGCGGACAATCTTGTGTTTTCTTTCATTTCAAGTTGCCACATTTCAGACTCTTTATGATAGATTCTGTTGCTTCTATATAGAACATGACATATTAGCCTCTGAAATTTTTGGTTGTGTGCCTCTCAATTCTGAAAATAATTTAATATTGAATATAAAATATTGCATCATAATTTTAAATAGCAGCAAAAAGTGTGATTTCTCTTACATAATATAATTCACTTAAAATACATAAATAAGGGGGCACCTGGGTGGCTCAGTGAATTAAGCATCCGATCTTGGCTCAGGTCATGATCTCACCATTCATGAGTTCAAGCCCGGTGTCGGGCTCTGTGCTGACAGCTCTGAGCCTGGAGCCTGCTTCACGTTCTGTGTTTCCCTCTCTCTCTGCCCCTCCCCCACTCACATTCCATCTCTCTCTCTGTCTCAAAGAATAAATACACATTAATTTTTTTTACTCTTAAAAAAAGATAAAATGTGTTAATAGTTGTATTCAGAACAGTAACTGGGTCATAGAAAGTGGTCACTGTGAGCATTGGTTACTCTTCTTAGCAAAGGTGGTTTGTTATTCGCACCTATTTCTGGTATTTGACAGAAGTCCGGTTTGACTTCAGCCCCGTGCCTTCCATATTCCGGATATAACACAGGCAAAGTTGATAAGACATACTCATCTATTTCATAACGACGGTCTGATCTCTGGTTCACAGAGCAATGGTGGATGCAGCATAAAGTGCTCTACAATGTATCATGGACTCTGGGAGGAAACTTGTTGGGTTATAATAACAGGTGCCAAGCTGTTTATAGATTTTCCTCCTGTTTATATCTCACGGAAGGTGTTGGAGTTTCGGGATAGTAGTGTTCTCTTGACATCTCATTGATACATCAGAGAGATCAATAGTTGTTTTGGGAAGCTTAGGGAACATGAGTCCCAGAGATACACACACACAAAACCATAAAGCATTTCCATGGTAACATCTCCAGAACCAGGGGAACCACACTTCTCCCACAGGTACTTGGACTACACTCTGTTTTCTTGGGGATGGGCATAAGTGATATTTTCCGGGAGCTGAATGCTTTTTCTCTATTTGTTCCTCATGAGTGTAATTTACTATGGCCATTTCTATGAAAACGAGGAACCGTAGAGGAGGACAGTAGTATCAAACATATTTTTAAAAGTCTGCATTAAAGTCCGCATTTCACTCTTTCTTGATTAGAGAGTGTTTTAAGAAATGCCGTGCTTCAATCGCTTCTTTATGAAAACGTTTCTCCTGTGTGTCCTGAGACACAGTCTCAAAGGGGAACGTTAACTGTTTAATCTGCAGGACCAACAACCTTGTAACAGCTACTAGTGTAAGAGGGAAAAGGGTGGGAAGCAAATCGGGGAGAATGCATGGTCTCTCCTCGCCTTCCTCCTCTCGCACACTGACCCCATCCATGGAACCTGGAAAAGACCACGTGGAGGTTCCCCTGACAGTGAGCCTGGAGCCTGGAGTCTCTCTGATGCTGAGAGCTGCAGGAAGGGGCCCTCAGGACTGTTCCTGGAGAGACACAGACTTGGGGACCACCTGTGAGGCAGAGAGGAGAGGAATTACTTTGATCCTGTGCACAAAATGAGAAATGTCTTTCCATAGCAGGTTTCTCATCCTTGGTACTATTGACCTTCTGGGTCAGATGATATTTGGGTGTTTGCGTGTGCTCTTGGTATGTGTGTGGGGGGTGGCGGGGGTGGGGCAGCCATGTGCAGCATACACTGTTCAGCAAAATCCCTGGTCTCTACCCACTAGATGTCACTAGCACCCCTTCCTATTGGGAGAACCCAAAACGTCTTGGGACAGAGCCACAGGTCCCAGAGGCATCAAAATATCTCCTGCTGCAGAACCACTTCTCTATAAAGAGTCAACAGCCTGATTTTTCACCTTCAGACTTGAAAACAGGCAAGGTTTTCAACATTGTGTACTATGTTGGGCTCAGAAAAAGACACCTCACTTTTACTGACCATTGAAGAGAGAGAACCATGTTATCAGAATAACTATTTGTTTTCAGACTGGGATTTCTCAACGCGCATATCTTTTACCTTTTTGAAATCATTTGACCAAAGGGGGACATACCTAGTGGCTTGAATCTTAGTGAAGACCGTGTTTCCTCCAGGAATAATCCACTGGGGACTCCACGTCATAAAGCAGGTTCTAATTTCTTTTCAAATGATTAGAAGAAAATATTTATTGTCATGGGTTTTGTAAGGGTTAAATAGGCAAAGCAAATTATGTATGCATATACAATATTTTACATGTACACTCTGGCTTAGTGTTATTTAACTTACCGTTTTATCATAATGATTTTTCAGGCCATTAAAGGGCCTTCAAAAACATCCTGTAAATAGTTGCATAGATTTCCATAATATATATGTACCCTAGCTTTCACCATTTCCCTCTTGTTTTTCAAATCTTTTTAATATTTATCTATTTTTGAGACAGCATGTGTGAGCAGGGAAGGGGTAGAGAGAAGGAGACAGAGGATGCAAAGCAGACCCTGCACTGAAGACAGACAAGCAGATGCTGGGCTACAACTCACAAACTGTGAGATCATAACCTGAGCCGAAGTCAAACACTTAACCGACTGAGCCACCCACGTGCCCCTGACCATTTCCCTCTTGCTGGACATATTATTGCTGAAATTTACTCTCATAAATAATGCTACAATGCAGCAGGAAGACTTTTGGTAATACTTCCCTATGTACATCTTTGATTCGTTCTTCAAATAGATTTAAAACTGAATTTATTTGTCTAATAGGTTAAGGCTTCAGAGTCAGAGTTGCAGGAAGTTTGAGACCAAGTACAAACTCCCTGAACAAAAAAAGATAAGAAAGACCATGATTAGGAGAATCACTATGTTACTTTATAGAAAAAAAAATCTAGTGTGGAGGATAAAAGCTACTTCCCCATCAAAAACATATGGATAAAAAATGAACACTTGTGTGTTAACAGTCTTCAACTGACATGCTTCTCATCATTTCAGTGGAAAACAGGGAAGGACGTGGTGTATTTCAAAACATTATTTTCTGAGATCTCACTAGATTCAGTACTCATTAAACAGTCTGCCAGGAAAAAGGGATGTGAGTTTCATAACACAATGTGGCTAATTATGTCTGAGGTCTTTCTAGTGATTCAGTGCTAAGCTGTAAATTGTGTAGGACTCCACGGTGTAGGACATACACCGTGATGGATGTGGATGTTTTTGTGTGATCTGTGAATCAACGTGTGACCTTACGCATCTTTCCACAATGCCTGCACTTTTCCTAAACTTCACAAAAGCCATGTCCTAATTCTTTGCGGAAAAACTTATCTTACGCGTTTTCATGTCTCTTTTTTAAGAGACTGCCAAAAAATGAATCTGAGATCATACAGTGGAGGATAACTATAAATATTTTTCTCCAACCTCAATCAAATGGGAACATGGGCAAGGGAAACTGCTCCGGTGTGACCGAGTTCATTCTCCTCGGATTCGCAGAAGCCCCTGAGTTGAGAGTCGTCCTCTTCTCTGTGTTCCTTCTCATCTATGGAGTCACGGTGCTGGGCAACCTGGGCATGATGGCAGTGATTCAGGTCAGCTGTCACCTTCACACTCCCATGTACTTTTTCCTCAGCCACTTGTCCTTTGTGGATTTTTGCTACTCCACCGTCATCGTGCCAAAGATGCTAACTAGTACCTTAAACGAGGACAAAGCCATTTCTTTCCTGGGGTGCACCGTGCAATTCTACTTGTTTTG